CCTTTGGACTTTCAAACAAACTGTCAAGTCTGTCCTCGCAAATGGTTTGGTGTATGTCCTTTTAGATGCTGAAGTTTTGGTGGAAGAGAATTGCAAGTGCCCGCCTTTACCCACCTCCGCTTATGTTCTGGTCTCACATTTCAAACGTCTTCACTCCCTTCCCAGGAGGGTCGGAGGACCGCCTCAATTAGAGGGGCAAAGAAGAATAGGGTAAAGGTCCCCATCCTTCCTATCCTCAAGCGCACACCCTCCTGTTGACGAGATTCGCCATAGTGTGAGGCGGCGAACAATTTTTTTGCCAAACCAAATTACCAGCCTAGATCAGACTTATTTTTGATAAAGACAGATAGGAAAAAATAATCCCTCCACATCTTTTTTTGCGTAGGAAGTATCAGCCGTAATCGTTTGGTCTTCGGCATGCAATTTGTCATGATTAATTGCATTGGAAGTCCACCACACACACGCATGCGAGGAAGGGAAGCATAATCCAGTGGGGAGGAAGAGACGGATCATTTGGAAACAACTATTGTTGCCAGTGGCACACTAAATACTTCATTATGGCCCCGAATTGAGCCTCTTCATGATCATCATATCATAGCTGGGCCACGATGATTCACCATTTGAAGCAAGTTGATTCGCCCAACCCCTTCCATGTGGCAATAAAGGCTTTGTATGCCTCAACTCCACAGATTGGGCACAAGATTTTTTTTAGCCACTTTAATTACCATTCATTTTTAGGTTTTTTCCCAGTTTCCTAGTCAAAATCCTTCATTCGCTATTGAAAATGCATCTAATTTGTACCTGGGATGTGATCCACTACTATTATCGATGTCGGATTCAGTGAATAGTAAAGAAAAATATGTCAGCACTGCACTACTGAAATGCAAATCAGCGGCAAAAATAAATATCGACTATAACTAGGTCAAATGTAAATTCTCCTTAACCAGTTAGCATTGTCGCTCTAACTTCTACCGTCTTTAGAGAAGATTCTCACCATTCACTATTTTGCTTAAGCTACTTATAAGCATTTTAGTACTAATCGAGGTGATGGATACTTGTGTGAGCTGTCCTAAAAATTTTCATGCTATCAACACCTGATGCTTGTGATTAGAGGAGAAATTAAAGCATTAAAAAATTAACCCCATAATACGGATGCATAGCCAAATGACAAATGTGGCATCAACTGCCACGAATTGAATACTTGCTGGAGGACATTTTACATCAGCAACTCACTCTGAAGTCCCTTGTGTCCAAATCTGCGGTGAGAAAGGATCGCAGTAGTCGGTGTGTGATCACAGTGGCAGTGAACAGCCCTGATGCGTTTGGATGATAGCCCAATTCATCCTTGTTAACAACCCTTATGCCCCTATGATGGTACCAAGTGACCTTCGCTGGAGGATTGGCTTCAACCTGACAGGTTAATTGTGCAGACTGGCCAGTAGACACCGCCTCGACCTCCTCCTCTGGTCCCTGTAGTTTCGGTCCGTCTAGAGCAGAAAGGAGGGACACATGTACCAGGGCTAAGCTTTAATGCGCTAAAAAGAGGCATAGTTGCTCTCCCGATAATGTGCATCCTGTTAACTTCCTCGTGATTAAAGCTTGAGCGAGTTTTACTGAAGTCCAAACAACGTTTGCTGTTGCCAAAGCATTTTTCTAGAGGCGTTAAGACGCTTCTTGATCCGCCAACCGGTGCAAACCTATCCCACCGAAAAGTAGTGCAAGCGGTATTCAAAATGGATTCCATCTTTTGTAAACTTCTGTGGAACAATAATGATCTTGTCTGTCACCTCTTTATGGACACTTAACACAAATTTTGGCAGAATTCACGAGACTTATAAATATCTTCATCGGTCTTACGCTCTATTGAATAAATGCAAAAATTCAAACTGATTTGTATTGTTAAACAAATTATTAAGCTTAATGCTTTAAAATTAGGCAGTTATTTAATTGAGTTCGGGCTTGTAACAATTCTATAAAAGTAAATTTTTTTGTGCTGAACAGCCTACTTAAATGTTTCATTAAGTAGTTTGGTTAATTTACCTGTGAAAGTGGAAAAGAAGGCCATTAATGCAATAAATGGACTTAAATAACATTTGTTTTGCCCCAAAACGACACCTATACAGGGGAAAATGTGAACAAATTGCTACACCAACTTTAAGCTTGGACCTGCCAAACCCATCAGAAAGAATAAATCTTGAACTTTGCCTATAAAATCAACT